GGTCTCTCGCGATTTCAGCCCTCGTCACGATATGTCTATTCGGTTTCACCCACTAACGCCTAACTCTATTTTTGGTTTAGGTTATAACAATAATTGATTGCTTTGTTTTTTTTGGTTCAGTTATTATTACTAGTCTGACTTCATGATTATATTTAACACAAGCTTAAAGCAAACAGATGCCATGTAAGTGGTAGAGATCTTACCTGTAATTTCCTTGAAGATGCAGAACATGAAAATAAGGATAAGATTCCAGTCAGGTATGATTGTACTTGAATGCTTGATCCTGATCTTCTCCTTCTTTGTACTCATGCGCCATTAAATTGATGACTATAGAAGTATTAAAATTTGCAGGTTCTGAGTTGATGAGTTTGCAAGGAAGAAATGCAGTATGATCTGCTAGCAAGCGAAAGCTATTCAGAAGTGAGACTTAGTGAAGTCGGAAGGCTAACAATGTTGTAGGGAGTGAAGATGGATAAAGGTTTATGAAGGGATGCAATTGACATATCAGGTTCGATTTTGGTAGGGGAATGAAGGACAAAAATGTTAGCTTTTGTATACAGGTCAGTATATGAAAAAAAGTTTTGAGTGGCTTGAGCAGAAGTTGGAGAGTGAATTTCTTAGTGAATGTTTCTGTCCCTAATTTTCTCCCTGTTTGCTGTCTTGTTGCAGCCTATTTGTGTTGTGATTATAGTTTTTGGATTTGAAGCTTTGGAGGATAAAGGTTGCAATAAAGTGAAGAGTGAGAATAGTGATCATGGTCTCCCTTTTTCTCTTGCTGTCTTATGTTTTTATAGCATAATGAGGGGGTCAATTGGAGGGATAATTTTGATGAATTTGAACTGTATTGGATACTGCTTTTATGCTTTATTGATGCAGTTTATGTTTTACCCATTTCGTGTAACCTTTGGCATGTTATTGGACTATTTTATACAAGTTTTTTAGCAGCTAATGCAAGCTGCTTTTGATAATTTTTGCAGGATTTTGGACTGTATTGCTGGTTTGTAGCAACATGCTCAGGCTTAGGTGATATCTTTTTGTCTCTTGCTCTTTCCTCTTTCATCTTTCAAGGATGCAAAGCATTTTGCTTTTTTATTTGAAATTCTGAAGGATTTGCAACATTTAGAAATATGATGACATAGTGTTTTGACCATGAGCTAGCATTGGCTGTTTTTTTATATTGGATGATTTTACTTTGTTTTTGCTATTGCTTGTTGTTTTGTGTGTTTGACAACTTTCCTGCAAGTTTGCAATGTTTACAACAACTTCTGTTTTGCTGCAATATTTTGTTGCAGGTTTGCCCTGCTGTTCTGTTTTGCGCTGCTGTTTTGCTGCATTTGGGCAGCTTGCTTGCTGACTTTTGTTTGGCAGCCTAGCTGCTGTTTGCATTGTTTGTGGTTTGTCCTTGCTTTTGTAATGTTTGCAAATTTCTTTTTCCCTTTTGTGAACCAAAAAGATCAAAATTTTGTGATTTATAAAAGTAGGAGATAGACCATGATTAAGAACAAAACCTTTTAGTTCTGATTCCAAATGCAAATCCTAATGATGAGTTTTCCTTTTTTACAAATCATTCTTTCTTGAATTATTCATATATTGATTGCTTGCTAATTTTCCTTTTCTTGTTTCATGAACACGAGGAGTGGATGGTAAGTGAGGCAAGGTGACTAGAAAACCATGTCTAGCAAGGAGTGAATGAGTTGCTTGAAGATGAAGCAAAGAAGACTTGAAGAAACAAAACAATATTTCTTTCTTTGTAAACAAAACAAAATTTGTAGCTTGTATTAACTTGTAATATTTGTAACATAAGTTGATGAATCTTGAAGTTTGCAAATTTCTTGTAGTAAATGTAACAACTTTGAATAATTTGCGAGATAGAAACTCGAAATTTCCTTGTGTAAACTCATTTATCTCAAAAGCTTGAAGGAAATTGACACATTAGTGAATCAACGCGATTTTGCACATGTATTGAGTGAAGTTTGTTTGATAATATCGGACATGTTTTGAACATTGTACCCTCTTGATTTCATGAAACTTGCACTTAAAAATGAACCTCGCATGCCATGCTCGATTCAAATGGAACTTCATTACCAAACCTGAATTCAATCTCTTGATGACAAAACATATGCTTTAAGAGTATTCATCAATCTTGTAAAATTAACAACTTCAACATGAGAATAATAGTCCTGAGAAAACAATTGTGGTATGAATTAAAATTACGAGTTAAGAACATTCGAAATCAAGCAAATGACCTGTGATGGTGTGATAACTTTCAAAGTCTTCCAAACACGATTTTACTTTGATCTTTGAAGATACACTTGTAAATGACATCACTCATGACAATATGCAGAAACAATCGTCTCAAGATCTTGGAATTTGAGGAAATCACAATTCTTAGAAGTCAGACAACAGTTACTTAAGATTAGGTCAAATCCATGAAGCGACCTTTAAAGTATTCTAATTTTGGTGATCTTCCGTGCGTAATCAGCTCTTGATTTGTGAAGAGAAATTGGAGATGACATCAAGGAGAGTCGTACGCAAAAAGAACCACTCAGAAATATCGATTGATGAAGAAGTTACAATCTCTTGAACTTGGTCTCGCAAAAGGTTGACTTTTGGGTCAATGGAGTCATTTTCAGTCATCTGAACCCTTGACTGGGCAAACTTGCAATGCGAGGTTTGAAACTTGGCACGAACATCCTTGAGGAGACATGAATATCTATAAAGACCATTTGAAACCTTGGAGACTCAATTTTCTTTAGGAAATAACAAACCCTAATTGTTGACTTACTGCCTAGGAAGAGAATTTGTCAGATCAACTTTTGAGCCAAATTGAGTACTCGAGAAACCCTAGGATAGTATCTTGCATGAAAAATGGGAGGGAAAATTTTGGGGTACAACAAGTCGCAATACCAAACATCCCAAGATTCATTTCCTTTTTACCCCCTTACTCAGACGACCAGTGCTATAGACCATCCATGGAACACCACCCCCACCAAGACGACCAAACTTTGAGGGCACGGGTAACCGACTGTACCAAAACGGATCTTCCAGATATGGTGATCTGATCGATTTCATGGATCCTGAACGTATTGACTTCGCTGGGCCATCGACCCTGCCGCAGTAGGAAATTCGACGAAACCCACCACGAGATAGGCGAGGACGCAGATGCGGAACCACGAGTCGTTACCGAGTTCCGGGGTCATTATGTAATCATTTTTTGCTAATGAAAAGTCGAAGTTTCGTGAAGCTATATCGTTTACCTATTGTTTCACATTTAAAATAAAAAACAAAAAAATTGCACATCTATTGCACCTAGGCGTCATCTGAGATGGCTTAGGGCAACCATTTAGCACCTAGGCGCCATGTCACTTGACGCCTCCTCCTTAATTTTAGGTGTATGCCCCAACTCAGTTGATTCCTCCATTGTGGGGTTTTCTGAAACATTGTTAATTGCGTAATATTTCCCAAAACATAATTATTTGTGTATTTTTTTCCAATACCTGATTATTGCTAAAAAATTCTCAATAGTTCAATAAAATTATTATTATTTTATATATTTATAGCTTCTCTTTAATTTATATGAAATAATTTATGACTACGACAATTTTTGTCATGTAAATAGAGTAATTGTTATACAAATTCTCATCTTCGATTTACGAAATATAAACATTTTATTAGAAACCATAGATGAATAAAATATTAAACTTATAATTTGAAATATATATATATATATATATATATATATATATATATATATATATATATATATATATATATATATATATATATATATATATATATATATATATATATATATATATATATATATATATATATATATATATATATATATATATATATATATATATATATATATATATATATATATATATATATATATATATATATATATATATATATATATATATATTGAAAACTCTTTTTTTTTATTTGCAAAAACAATCAAACTTAATTTAATTTATAAGAAAATTCTTAAGAATACTATATCAGGACAATTAATACTCCATTTTAACCGAACATCATAAAAAGAGTCAAGATTACAATTTAAAATTTGAAAAAATAATAAATAAAACATTACATAACAGTTGATAAATAAGATAAATGATTTAATTTATAAAACTGGTAATCATAATCGAAAGCAACATATTTTGACTTTAACCACCAAAACAAATGAAGCTTTACCCTTTTAGATAACACCTACAACTACTTCATTTTATTCTGGAATATACGCCTATTTCGCTCGTCTCAAATAATTCAAACCACGACAAATCAAATAACGTTAAATGCCGACTGACTGTTTTTAGAGAACCCAACAAGACCACCAAACTGCAAGCATTGGTCCAAAATATTTCTTTGAGATGTTGTTGAGAATTCTACATAATTAAGAATAATAGTCCACAATCCACCAAAAATCACATGTTACAAACAAATGATCTATTTCTTCAGCCACGCCATAATTTTCCACACATCTATGATTACATGTAACAAGAATCTACCACCTAGCCAGATTGTCCTTCATCGAAATACAATTCAGTAATAACTGGCATACAAAATCAGATACCTTAAGGGGCACAATCTTCAAACATAAAAATTGGAAATTAGCCTGATTGTTAATGATGTCAACTTTAGACAAATATTTATAAGCACTACTATCCATGTAGCCAGAAGAAAGATATAAAATCCACACCCAATGATCTTGTACTTCCACCTGCAAAACACATTAACTCCTCCTCCCCAAGCAAACAACCTTCTCCTCCACTTCTACGCCTCTTCATTCTCCCCTACCCTAATCCATTCATTTATGCTACTGTCGCCCTTTTATTCTCCTCTAAATCAAATAACCTACTAAATCTCTCATTCAAAGGCACCATGCAACCAATGATCTATTCGAAACATAGGAGAATACATGTCTCCTATTCTCCAATCAATGTTATCAATCAACCTCCATCCATCAACCAAAATGACACCATCCCTTATGCTTTTCAAATTCCTCTTCCAAACAGATCTACCGCTACCCCCAAAATATTATAACCCTCTTCCTCTCCATACTGAGCACTCAGAACCTTATACAACAAACTTTCCGTAGCATTTAGAATCCTCCAACACCATTTATCAAGTAAGGCCAAGTTAAACTCCTTCAACCTCCTAACCTCCAGACCTCCATTTTCTTTTTTCAAATAAATAGTATCCCAATTGATACACAAAGTTTTTCTCACTCCCTCACACCCCCAAATAAAAAAACATTAAAAATAAACTCAAGAGAAGATATGATACTTGAGGGCGCCTTGAAGAAATAAAATAGACCGGAATGGAAGCCAAAACATATTTTATAAGAATCAGACAGCCCCTATAGAAAGAAAACAACTCTTCAACCTTGACAACTTTCTTTTAATACGGTCTATCAATGGATACAAAAAATAAGCTTCCTTGAATTTCTACCAATAGGCAGCTACAAATACAGAAAAGATAGACGATCGTGCTTACAGTTCATAACACTCGATGTCTCATGCAACCATGATTATGAGACGTTGACCCCAAACAACATGTTTTTATGAAAGTTAACTTTTAAATCCGAAATAGGTTAAAAAAGAATCAACACTGTCTTCAAAACTTAGACATTAACCCAACTTTTAATCCCTGCCAATAATTCATCATCAACGAATTATAAATGTGAAATATTAACACCATTTTGTGCCCTCACCCCATACCATGTATACATTCCTTTTTTCACTAAAGCATTCATCAAAACATGTAACCTTTCAGTTGCTAACAAAAAAAGAAAAGGGGAAAGCGAATCACCTTGACGAAGACCTCTTTCCAACTTAAACCCATTCGTTGGACTTCCGTTCTCAAGCACATAATCACCTTCAGCATTTTTAAGTTTTAGGTGGGTTCCCCTACTCTACCTCATTCCTCATTATTTTGGGATTAAGGGTTGTAAATATTAGGTTGTGGTTTTGATTATGAACCAATCATGATGCATGCATAATAGTGTTAGAATGATCTTTTTGCATGATGAATATGCATATTGAATGTTTGATGTTTTTAACATTAGAGAGTTCAAGATAAGGTTAATACGTATGATGCGGCTAAGGAATTGTTTATGTGTTTTGGCTGTTTGAGAAAGGTTAAAGGGTCCTATATGACCCTAAGATATAGAAATTATATGGAATTAAGGATAAAAGAGGTAGGATGAAAATTCTGAACTTTACGATTAGTACACTCATTAGAAAGTAGATAAAATTTAGCATAAAATATACTTAATTTGGCTCATTTTAGTTGTGTTAGGGTTGGGAAAAACTAAACTATAAGTTCAAAAACTATTTAGAAATTATTCAACTCAAATATTTGATATAATGCTAGTATTTATTTTTTTAAAACTCAGTCTACATAAATCTTTTAAGAGTGAATCTTACATAATAAAAAGGTAGATAAAATTTCACATATTAAAAATTTGAAGTATCACGTTTCATTAAGTAAAGTAGGCAATTTACTAGTTACAAGTTGGAAACATCTAGCTCTATTTTTTTCATGTTAATATTATTTTATTTAATTAAACCAATTGAGATTTTAAGTCCTAAAACAAAAAAGAATAGTCTTAAAATAGACATTAAAATAGACATTCTAATATTTCTAAAGAATATTTGTTCACTTGAGTACGACTCCATTTAGTATTTTAACTAATTAGTCGAATTCGTGGTATGATTAATGGAAAGCATGATTTTGCAACAATTTTGATAAGAATGTATGTATAATAGACTATTGACTAAATAATTGATGATTTAAAATATCGTATACCTATTTTCTAGAAATTGTAGGGTTATATATGTTAAGATAAATGTATGAGATTTTTAAAAATGAATATAATTAAGATAGAAATGAAGTTGATTGATAATATGCTATAATATAAATGTCTTACAAAGAATATGAAAAGCTCGACTATTTTACTTGTTCTTTGAATTCTAATAATATTAGAGTGTAATTTAGTATTTATTATTTGTAGATATTCTCTTTAGAGTCTATGTGACATTCTTCTCTTTACTACTTTTGTGTATAAATATGTGTACTAGGTTTTATTTAATACAATAAATCTTCTTCCAATCATTTGTGGCAGCTTTATAGCATTTATCTTTTCTCTCTTCTTCCTCAATATTATCACCTTGCACCAACAAATTGGTATCTAGAGCTTTTGGTTTGTTCTGAAATTCTCGGAAACACGAGTGATAGTGAGCAATGTGTTTGATTTTTGGTTCCTGATTTCTGTTGAATCTTACACAAAAATCTAAACAGAATCACATTGATTCTGTGGGTTTGAGAAACACTGAGTAAGAATCTGAGATCTGAGATTTATGCAAGGTTTAAGATGAGTGGAGGCAGTAGTTTGAACACTAAACTTCCAGTTTTTGATGTCAAAAACTGGAACAGATGGATGATACAGATGCATGTGCTGTTTGGTGCTCAGGATATTCTGGATCTTGTTACTGAAGGTTATGTTCCAGTTACAGCAGATGCTACTGAAGAACAAAGATCTGCAAAAAGAGCTACGAGGAAGAGGGATCAGAAAGCTCTGTTATATATCCATCAGTGTGTGGATGAAAGTGTGTTTGAGAAGATTGCTGATTCGACGACGTCGAAAGAGGCATGAGATATACTGGTCAGATGTTATGGTGGTAACGCGTCAGTAAAGAAGGTAAAACTTTAGTCCATGCATAAGCAATATGAGAATCTCAACATGAAGAACAATGAGAATGTTTCCGAGTACATCTCCAGAATGTTTCTGATCACTAATAAGATGAAAGCTTGTGGATAAGCACTTTCTGAACAGGTAATCATAGAGAAGATTCTGAGGTCACTTACTCCTCAGTTTGATTACATTGTTGTTTCTGTTGAACATTCTAAAAATTTGGAAACCATGAGAATAGAAGAGTTGCAAAGCAGTCTAGAAGCACAGGAGTTGCGTCTGACTGAAAGAACTTCTGAGAGGGAATTGGAGCAAACTCTGAAGGCTTCTTTTGTCAAGAAGGACCAAAAGCAGAATAGGCGTGGTGATAAATTCCAGAAGTTAGAAACCTCAACTTCTGATGAAAAGAAATATCAGAAGGGAAAGGAAAAGTATGACAAGAAGAAGGTTCAATGTTACTGTTGTAAACAGTTTGGCCATTTTTCCAGAGATTGTAGAAACAGAGGAAGGAAATCAGAAGAAACAAATATAGTCAGAGGAGATTTTGATGATGAACATGTGCTACTGATGGCTTCTGATTCTGATGGAAACTGTTCATAAGATTGATGGTATATGGACACTAGATGTTCAAACCACATAACTGGGAACAAACAATGGCTGATAGACTTTGACTCCAGAAGGAGAACAAAGATCAGATGTGCTGATGTGCGTGGACCATTTCCAGTATCTTCACTTGGAGGAAATAAATATTTTGTGTCTTTTGTGGATGATTTCACAAGAATGACATGGGTAACACTCATCAAGTTCAAGCATGAAGTATTTACCGAGTTCCAGAAGTTCAAGGTAAAGGCTGAGAAGCAGAGTGGTTAGAAGCTGAAGATTTTGAGAACAGATGGTGGAGGTGAGTATAACTCTATAGAGTTCCAGAAGTTCTGTGAGGATAATAGAATAAAACATGAGATTACTGCTTCATATACTCCTCAACACAATGGTCTTGCTTAAAGAAGAAATAAAACTTTGCTTGATATGACCAGAAGTATGCTGAAAGAGAAGAAGCTACCTCACATGTTATTGGGAGAAGTTGTTGCCACGTCAACATATATTCTGAATAGGTGTCCAACGAAGAAGCTGAAGGAGATTGTTCCTTTAGAAAAGTGGACTGGAGACAAGCAAAGTGTTAGCCATCTGAGGGTGTTTGGTTATGTATGCTACAAACACGTTCCAGAAGCTAGAAGACGGAAACTGGATGATAAAAGCAAAGTAATGTTACTGGTGGGGTACCACAGTACAGGTGCCTATAAGCTTTATTGTCCAGAAACTAACAAAGTTGAAATCAGTAGAGATGTTATTATGAAAGACTCAGAAACTTGGGATTGAAACAAGCTTCAATCAGATTCTGGTGTAGCGCCAACATCAGAGTTAGTTTCTGAAGATTCTTCAGAAAGTTTTGATTAGTCAGAGTCAGAAGATGAATCTGAAGACTCTGAAGATGAGTCCGAATCTCAGGGAGATTCTGATAGTGGATTTGATTCTAATCCAAATTCTGATGATGATCCAAAATCTGGTGGTGATTATATTTCTGAAAAGAAAAACTCTGAAGACATAGGGTCTGGAGAACAAGCTTCCAGAAGTAACTCTGAAGGTGGTAATTCTGAAGGAAGTAGTTCTGGACAAGGTCCATAAGCTAGCATTGTTTCAATTTCTGAAGAAGCTTCAGAGCAAGTTCAGAGGCCACAGAATCAGACGAATACCAAGTAGGTTTTCATATTTTAGCATGTTACATGATACTGAAGTAGATTCTAAAGGAGAAGTCGTTCAGTGTGCCATGTTAGTAGATTTTGAATCAATGGGTATTGAAGAAGCTCTCAAGAAGAAAGTATGGTTGAATGCCATGAAAGAAGAACTTGAGGCTATTGAAAGAAACAGAACTTGGAAGCTGACGAAGCTTCCAGAAAAGAAGAAAGCCATCAGCGTCAGATGGGTTTTCAAGGTGAAGCTTAAGCTAGATGAATCAATTGGAAAACACAAAGCGAGACTAGTGGCTAGAGGTTTTCTTCAGAAACCTGAGCTAGATTACTTTGAGGTGTTTGCGCCTGTAGCTAGACACAAAACAATCAGACTGGTGATTGCTTAAGCTGCAAACAGAAATTGGCCTTTGATACATCTGGATGTGAAGTCTGCATTTCTGAATGGTCCGTTACAAGAAGAGGTATATGTGTCGCAACCTCCTGGATTTATGAAAAAGAATCAGGAAGGGATGGTTTACAAGTTACATAAAGCCTTGTATGGACTGAAACAAGCACCCAGAGCTTGGAATATGAAAATTGATTTGTTTTTCAAGAGGCAGAAGTTTCAGAAATGTGAGATGGAATATGGCGTGTATGTGCAGCATTCTGGTGGCAATATGATTCTGGTGTGTCTATATATTGATGACATATTGCTAACAGGAAGTTTTCCAGAAGATATAGTCAAGTTCAAAGAAGTTCTGATGAATGAATTTGAGATGTCAGATCTGGAAAATATGGTATATTTTCTAGGAATGAAGCTTCTGTATTCAAAGAAGGATATCATTCTACATCAGCTGAAGTATGAACTTGAACTTCTAAAGAGATTTAAGCTGCAGAATTGCAAAGTTGTTGTGGCATCATCAGAAACCAATTATAAATTAGATTCTGACTCTGATGGTGATTCTGTAGATGCTACAACCTTCAAGCAGTTGGTTGGTTCTCTTAGGTACTTGTGCAATACCAGACCTGACATTTGTTATGCAGTTAGAATTGTTAGCAGATTCATGAGTAAACCAAAGTGATCTCATTATCAAGCTGCTGTCAGGATTCCGAGGTAAATCAAAGGAACTCTGAAATACAGAGTGATATTTCCTTCTAGAAGACTGACATAACCAAAATTAGTGAGTTATTCTGATTCTGACTGGCGTGGAGACAGAGTTGACAGAAGAAATACTTCTGGTTACTTGTTCAAGTTTCTGAGAGGTCCAATTTCTTAGAGTTCCAAGAAACAACCTGTTGTGGCTCTGTCAACGTGTGAAGCTGAATACATTGCAGGTGTTGTAGCTGCATGTCAAGCTGTTTGGCTTCTGAATCTTCTGGAGGATTTGAAGATTGAGATAGAGAAACCTCTGAAGCTGTTGATTGATAACAAGTCTGCAATCAATCTTGCCAAGAATCCAATGCTGCATAGAAGAAGCAAGCATATTGAGACGAAATATCATTTTCTGAGAAGTCAAGTGCAAAAAGGAGTGTTAGAAGTTCTGCACTGTAGCACTCAGAAGCAGCTGACAGATGTTCTGACGAAGACAATAAAAACAGACCATTTCTTTATTTGAGAAATGAAATCGGTGTTGTTAGTTTATGATAATTACTAAATTACGGGATGATATTAGAGAGTAATTTAATATTTGCTATTTGTGGATATTCTCTTTAGGGCCTATGTGACATTCTTATCTTTACTACTTTTGTGTATAAATAGGTGTACTAGGTTTCATTTAATACAATCAATCCTCTTCCAATCATTTGTGGCAGCTTTATAGCATTTATTTTTTCTCTTTTGTTCCTCAAATTCATCCCCTTACACTAACAAATAATACAATTTAATATTTTTTTATCATTAGGATTTGTACAAGTAAAGATATAAAAAGCAATGGGTAATCTATTAGTAGACTTTCTGTTTACTAATGAACAACATAATTATAAGATTTAAGTATAATTTTGAATGTGGATCATGTTTATGAATCTTGATCTAGTAATTAATCATTAGGATGATTAGTTAATACTCATACTTTATGTACTTGAGTAGTGACAAGTACAATATAATAAGGCATTGTGAGGTTGAGTTTTGAAGGTAGGCAAACAGAAAGAATAATGTTTGTTTGCGACTTATATGTGTCACTTCACTAGCGTGTAGTTTTTCTTGAGTACACTCAAGCTCAAGGGTATTCAGAAATAAAATGACAAGATAATATATTGTGTGTTACCCCCATGCATGTATATGATAATGTTAAGCAATGTTGAGCAAAACTGGATGAGTTTAGTTCCACTGTAAATGTAAAATTTGGGTGCTTGGTTAATAAATAAGGTTAAGACAAACTTATAATTTTCCTGATTATTTCATCTAATCTTGATTTTCTAAAACTATTTCTATAGTTTTATTATTAAACGTGACATATTATATTTTATCCCTCTTTGAAAGCTCCCTAAGATAGTAGTATTTCATCCCACTATATTGATAATTTTTCAGGTGCAAGTATTCTCTTTCAAGTCCATCAGAGTCGCATCCCAACGAAGTCTAGATTTATGATTCTGATTTCAAAAGTATTGAGTTATGAAAGATTATAAAGCTTCATTTTAAGTATTAATTTTTATGATTCTGTGGTATGATAAGTCTCTCTGAGCTATACAATTAGTAAAAGAATCTTTAGGGAAATTTGAGCTACATTTTACGAAATGTTTCTGCATTGGGAAAAATATTTTATTTTATTTCTACTCAAAATTGTGTTACATTGAACCTCTTAGAAAAAGGTTAAATATAACTATTAAGTCATTTATCACTTTGAATGATAAACCTATTAATGTTTCTGAAAAGTCTGTTGTTGTTATTGTGTTATTGGTTGTGTTAGATGTGTCTTTTTCTATAACTTCACTGTAGGTATAATTTAGTTGATTATTAATACTGCTATTGATTGCTTAATCCAATGATGTGTAAGGAACTATCCTATTATGTGCAATGTGTTCTTGAAGTTATATTGAATTTTAACATGTTTTCTTATCATCTGTGTATATGCAGGTTGAAGTGAGTATTTCAGGTATATTCTCTTCTGTAACCAATTTTCATTCCACTTAAATGATGTATTTTGAGTCTTTGTTTTGACTGAGTTAGATGGTAGGGGATGGAAGATTGTGAATAAATGAGTCAAGGATGGGTTTTAAGTCATTGTAGGCAACCATTATCATATGCTAATATGATGTAGCATCGGTGTAGAATTTAGAAATTAGAGTAATCCTTATCCCAATAATGTTGGAGGTCAATTATTAGTTTCATATTAGTAATTCTGTTTGTGAAAATTCATTCTTGTCGCAAACATAATGGTTTTTAATGTCAGCAACCATAGTGATTTTAATGCCAACAAACATATTATTATGATAATAGGGCCTTTGTGTGAGAACTCATATTAGTAATGTTTCTCTAGATCATCTAAGGTGTTCTATCTTATTTAAAAACTATTTATATGGAGATATAAATGTAAAATTTTCCCATATAAAACTAATTTAAGTTTATTATGTGATGCGGCAAATTAGTGACAGTGACTTGCCCATTGGTTGTGTTATATGTATTTTCACACTCACGTGTTTTATATAAAATTTATTGTGTCTTGCTACTACAACTAAATGACAATCTTTTATATTGCATGTATGAGTTGAAGCAACTTGAACAAGTACCAAGGGTCTCATCACTGAAAGCATTTTATTTGGGTTTCTCATTATATATATAGTTTTTAATAACGCCTTTTTGAAAAGTGCTAATATAGATATGGTATATAATGTGGCGTGAAATGAGTTATGATAGCGCTTTTCTGAGAAGCACTATTAAAGAATCCATTATTGATAGCGCTTTTAAGCGCTATTCTAGGGTACCTATCTATAACAGCGGAGGCTTTAATAGCACTTTTAAGCGCTATTAATAACTATTTTTTGGCATAGTGTGATCAATCTAAGTTCAATAAATAATATATGTATTAAGTAATTATTTCAACATAGAAAAGGGATTCAACTTTGATAGAACCGGATTTTATTACAATAAATTAGAAAATTTTGTATTGTGAACATGAAATTATTACTTTAAATTGAGAAGCCTTCAAATAAGAAGTCTTCGTCTGTGATGTCTTTAAATTGTTAAAAATACACAACATTTAATTAATACTCAGTGGACCAACAATATTAGACAAATGAGAGACAGTTGTTCAAGAAGCAACTCTAAGGTAAAGAACTTTAGCATCGGACTTCTGTATAAAAAAATAGAACATAGTCATCAGAAAAGTTTACTCGCTATTCAGATACATGTTAATTTGGACATAAAACAAAGCACTTCCTGTAGGCTTCATTGTCATTCTAAATTGTTATATTTAAAAGCATTCTAGAATATTTTGGGATAATCTACAAAAACCTACCTTTAGGCTTGGTAGAAAAGGAATTAACATCAATAGTCAATCCAAAACCAGTACCACTTCCAAAGTCAGACCCAATGCTAGATATGCCCATATCATTGAAGCTATTTTCAATTCTTTCGGATCCCATTGAGGTTAAAGGACCAAAGCCTCCTTTATCACCTCTATTCTTTTCAATTTGAACAATAATATATTATATTCAATAAAATCATGAGCAATCTCAGTCTTAAAAGATAAAACATCAGAACTTCTTGATGAATTTGTAAATGTGATTATTGATGTCCACTGTATCTTCTTGATCGTTGAAATGAGCCACACCTTTTTTCACAATCACTTGCTCCAAATTTGGGACATCTTCCTTGAATCCTCCATCATGGAGACACTCTTTGACGTCAGGTGTGGTGTATACAGACAATATACTACTCCGTCCTAACATATAAATGTTAACCGGAACCCTAATCAACTCATCCCACAAACATACATAAATCCTCAAACCATCAAAACTTCCCATTTTCTAATACTAATATAAACTTTCCTAGCTTGGAATACTTAGTAATCGGTTTAATTAGAAAAATTAATAATGAAAGACAAAAGAAAAACTTTAGTCTTGTGCCTAGTGAGGTTCTTAATCAATGATCTGATCTCCAACTTTGGGCATGTACCTGGTTGGAACTCAACAAGGTTCAAAGTCAAAGATTTGTTGAAGTTTTAAAAAAAAAAGCATGAAGAAGTTGTATGTTATTGCAAAAACTACAAATTTGATCAATGAGCTCAGAGCAAGTAAAGCTTTGCATGAACCTAAAGTTAAAGCATAAACAATTACTTCTCATAATTTTTGAATGAGTTTCCATCTAAAGGTGATATGAATTCTGATCATCATCTCTTACACATCAAACTATGTTATCTTTTTAATACAAAGATTGAAGAGTCGTTATCACCCTTACTAGATTTAATGATCCATACATGCTAAGAGAAGATTTTAAGACAACATCAAACCAACCAATGCAACAGTTGGCCACCATGAGACCAGCCTTAGACCTCATTTTGGAAAAATTAACCCAACCTTAAGATAAGTGTCTTTTTCTTTCATGTTTTCTTGCTTTCTTTTTTATGTTGTTTTTATTTTTTTGTTATTGTTTCCTCTAGTGGTACTTTTTGTCCGTGTTCGTGCAATATAAAGTTCTATTTTATTTTCATATATTTATTTTATTTTATTTATGTCACTTTTACTAGATAATTTATTCCTTCTTAAATATCTTTATGATTCTTTTTGTTTGAGGGGAGATAAATTATTATAAATTATTAGAAATGTTAAAATAATTTTTATAATTTAACAAAACTCATTTTTAAAGTGATTTCCTCCGGCACTTTATTGTAAAATATTATTTTCATACGTCTTTTTTTACTTTTTTATTACCAAAGTCCTCTATGATTAGTTATCTCTTAAGTTTTAAAATTGTTCATCAAATTACACATGTTTATCATCATATATGGAGAAATTGTTAAAATAAAGCCGGTTGAAGTAACAACGTTCTTAAATTTTGATTTTGATGATAATAATATTGTTCTTGCGAAAAACACTAAACGAGTGACTTTCTTGTAGGAACAACGAGAGCCTCAACAAGGATAAATTTCTATATGATCTTTGGGGATTTGGGTGCTACGATAGTGATGCATATTGATCCAAAAATAAATGTCTTACTTATCCCTCTGGCAGGAGCCCTTTTATATAGTCCTCAAACGACCCTTTAAGATCCTCATTTAAGAGGTGACTCTACACTTTCTCCTGTTTAATACGCACATAACGACTGCCACCTGTCATGAATGAGTGCATTCAAGCTATCATAATGTATGCAGTCACTCAGACGGCAATCATTATGTTTTATGTCTAGGACCGGGTTCCTAACCGGCTACATATTGCTAGGCTCTGTCCGAGGACACTCAAAGGAGTTGATATCCAGGTAAGGTCATTACCTGGCTTCCAACTAAGTGGAGTTGATACTCGGGTAAGGTCATTATCCGGCTTCCAGCTAAGTGGAGTTGATACCCGCGTAAGGTCACTACCCGACTTCCAACTAAGTGGAGTTGATACCCGGGTAAGGTCACTACTCGACTTTCCATAACAATTTATATCTTTTTACTCTTACCCCTGACGAATTTATAACCCGACTAGAATAAATATTTTCAGGATGTACATAATCCCCCTGAGTATGAATTATGTCATCAGGATGAAATGTTCAGTCAAGGAGAGCATGAGTTGTATTTAAGGTTTTAGGCCGTGTTATAACCCGACTCTCACTTTGTTTCACGTGTTAAGAAATGAAAGGTCACATCTATTGAGTAACTTTTTCTCTCTCATAGCGTAATGATGACTTTTATTGGAATTTATTTATTTAGTGACTATTCATTTCCACCGGCATTATTCATTGGGTCTCTATTTAAACCTTATTTCCATCTTTCCTTTTTTATCCTTGCAACAATAACGCCTCTCCTCAGAGAAGCTTGCATTTTGATCAAAGGCTCTCATCACTTTCAGGTATCTCATTCTCTTTCTCAACTTTATTTTACTCTGTCTTCTTTTTATTTTAAAGAATGGTAACGATAAGAGAGTATGATGATGAGGGAAACATTTGTAAAACCTAAAAATGATGAAGAGAGAAGGGAGTTATGAGATCAATGCATGCCTAAGGTTAAGGGTGCCTTAGGTCAGGAGGAATTCGATCCTCGCCTACTTTACCAAAATTTAGTCAAATATTTAGAGCTTTTAAGAACCCCTCCCCAACCCAAATCCTAAAGACCCTCTTGGTGAAAACAATAATGATGACGGGAAGGACCGTCCGGTAAGTTGATTTTATTACTCTTGTTCTGTTTTGATTAGTCATCCGTTAGGATGCATTTATGTAATTTTTTGTAGGGGAGTGTGGTTTTATCCCTTCTTTTTCTATTATGCCTGTGACTTTCTGCCTTTCGGGGTTTTATGATGAACACCTTTTGATGGTACTGACTGTTTTTGTTTTGCCTGATCTTTTGCCTTTAAAAATCATGCTTTTTCTTTTTTGTTAAAATAATTTTGTGTATGTACTCAAGCCCCTCGAGCACGAAGTTCGTAGAACTTAAGAGCCCGATCGCATAATGTCGAGTATTATTTTAAGCCTTCTAATTTGAGATCCCCATGCGGCTTGTAACCTTAGCTAGTTTATTCGTAAGCTCTGAATTTTTCACAACCATGATTTATACGCGTGTCGAGTTAAAAGCCTCAAGCCTTTTTCAGGCCGCATTCTCTTTATTCATAGCTTCGGGGTAGTGACCCCCAAGCGAGTTTGTCTATTATGTCTGGGAGTCCCTTAATGGAGGTTACTCGTTGGGACTTAGCTGTGCAGCTCACTCGGCTCGAGGAGTGTCAACTCAGATCCGAAAAAGTACTTGACTCTTTATAAGGAGTGTCAAGATACGACACTTTAAAAATACAAGTGTTAAATCAAGTACTTGAATCTTTACGAGGAGTGTCAGACATCGACTCTTTAAAAAGAGGAGTGTTAAATAAAGTACTCGATCCTTTACGAGGAGTGTCAGACTATGACTCTTTAAAAAGAGGAGTGTTAAATAAAGTACTCGACTCTTTACGAGGAGTGTCAGACTACGACTCTTTACAAAACACGAGTGTTAAATCAAGTACTCGACTCTTTACAAGAAGTGTCAGACTATGACTCTTTAAAAAGAGCAGTGTTAAATAAAGTACCCAACTCTTTACAAGGAGTGTCAGACTACGACTCTTTAAAAAGAGGAGTGTTAAATAAAGTACTCAACTATTTACAAGGAGTGTCAAACTACGTCTCTTTAAAAATAGGAGTGTTAAATAAAGTACTCGACTCTTTACGAGAAGTGTCAGACTATGACTCTTTAAAAAGAGGAGTGTTAAATAGAGTACCCGGATGAAGCCGGATGTGCCAGAGGCTTTAAGTTCGCACGAACTTCACTTAGGCCGAGCTATGGTTCTTCTGCCGAGCACCGAGTTATTGTTGAGATATGTTACAAAGACTTTTTAATCATGGGTGCCTCATTAAAAACCCTTTCCCTTGCAAGGGAAAATAGTGCATTCCATACATTTTATTCATAATCATATTACATACTTTTAACTGAAATAAAACCTAAGGTTGGATATATTCCATGTCTTAGGTACCTCTATGCCATCTGTATAAATCAGAGTAATATAACATACATCTCAAAACAAGGATGTCACACATAATTCAAAAACCACATACACATGTCATGCTCAATAACACTTAATTAAAATCCATGTTTTCCATACACTTTAATATAAGCATGTAGCAGCGGAATCACTTTCATTCATAATGAATATAATAATTAATCTCATAATCCACTCATTCATTTCACCACTTAGGCCTAAAAGCCAATTCACCATATAATTCAAATAAATCATAACCAAATGAAATAGAGTATACAATGTATCTCTCAAAACATGAATTCAAAACGTTTTCCCGTGTTACATAATCAGAGCATCACTCAAAACCAAAGTATGAAAAAGAAACAAATATAACTCCTCCAGCTACTCTCTTGCTAGAAGCAACTCTAATCTTCAGTACCTGAGTGATATCGTATAAAACATCATTCCAACAGAAAGATGAGAATTCACATAATTATCAAAATCATATAATAACACATAATGCATAACATACATGTATAAAGATAAATATTCTCACACTTCAAATATTTTACATACGTAGCATCACCCAATTATTCATACTAGTCACAAGTATATAATCACAATCCATAATTCCAAAAATAGAATCATTTTCACATAGTGCACATAACTTCATATTATGACATAATACAATGTGACTCAATGTAAGACTCAAATGCAATACTCATGCATATGGTACCAATCACTGTTATTTTTATTCGATCTTTACTTTAAATCGGGTTCATTCCCTAGACCAATAACATACAAAATCTCGTTCTCTAAGCTTTCAAACCCTGCTATAGGTTTGGGACAAGTCACTAGCTCCCACATAAATAACAAGCATTGCCTCTTGACAATAATGATGCATGTGAAATTTCAACAACCATATGCAATTAAGACCATCCCTCAATCTTAACATCCATGCATAT